ACATCTGCTGCTTTCTTGTGATGTGACCCTCGTAAACGTTTGTCTTCTTTTAAAATGAAATCCGCCACAATGTTTTTATGTACTCATTTCACAATTACATATTGATACGATAATTTATTTAATACCAACGTTGTTATTATGATTCGAATAACGAGATGTTGAAAATGAAAATACGAGATGTTTCTAAGTGAGACGTAAACAAAACGAAGATTAACTAAATGAAGAATTATAATCAGCATGATTAACATATAACATAGATAACGTTGACAAATAGCGGCCGCTGGTGGGGTCAGGGCGCTGCCGTCGCCGCTCGCCATGATGCGGAATGTGTGCGCAAACGTTGTATCATTATTGTAGAATAGCGTTTTAAGGTTAAACGAAAACATTTAACTGCAATAGTATTCGAAAATTATAAATGTAGAATAAATTCAGCTGAAACGCTTCCTTCAACGGTGAAGACAACAATGAAAAATGTAACTAATATAACAAATCAAAATGGGAAATAACTGAATTGCCCATAATTATTCTTTTATTTTTTAATTAAGACCATTTTTTTACATCTCGACGACGAAGGACGAATAAAAGAAGCTGAATGCAGATAATAAAATAACAGATAATAGTTAACAAAATACATTTTAATTAATTGTTTCCAAATTAAGGATATTTCGCATATATTTCTATCTGTCACGTTTTATGAATAAATGGACCCGACATTGAGTTAGGCAAAAAGGCACCGACAATGATAAATATTAAAAAAAAACTAAATTTAAATTAATAATAAATTAAAATTTAAAAAACGAACACGCTCAACAACACTGCAATCTTCATAAGGACATGTTAATTCACTGATTCGAAGACGCTTGAGCTATAATTATTATTTCAACATATTAAATTTATAGTTTACTATTTATGTTCGCAGAATATATACTAAATGCAGCTTTAGAACAGCTTGTATTGATGTTACCGTGAATTTAACAATACTCAATTGTCACCCAGATTTAACGAAAGTGAGAGGTTTTGTTTTTGATGTGACAATTTTGTGTAGCATTATACAATAGTCCTCGGTGGAACAAAGCGTGTGGACGAGCTCTGGCCACTAACTAATTGCTGCGAGGTAAATGAAAGCGTTGCTTTGTTATATGAAAATTTATCATCTTAGGAACCGTTCAATATGAGTTCGGTAACGGTAACGCAGTTCAAAGTACGTTATGCATAAGAAGAAAGATTTGTATTTTTGTATGTATTTGATAGATGTAAAAACTACTGGGTCGATTTTAAAAATTCTTTCACCATTAGAAAGGTAATTTAACTATGAGTTACTTTGGCTATATTTACATAGGCTATATGCTAGTTTATCAATAAAGTTTCAATGTATAACTCGTCTCTGAACATTTATTAGTTGCCTCTCACCGGCTGACAAGTGAGACATGTTGCGTAACAACGCCGTCTATTGTTTCTAATTCAATACAAATTGTTTTTAATTGCACGTAATAACACTAACAAAGATGTTTGTTGCGTCCATTGTTTTATGACGACACGAAAATAGTTTTACTTATTTTATTGTAGAAAGCAAACGAGCGTCGATCGCACATTACATAAACACATTTGTAACTCTGTTAAAATATGCCACACTATTTGGTAATATTGCTTCCAAGGACGGCAAAAGTTCGCCAAACTGATGGCTAATTTCACAAAAAGAGAGCTACAAAAAGAATATAGAGAAAGAAGAGAAGCAAGGCTAACTCTCTAGAGAGAGAATGTGTGATACGAAAGCTCTGCAATAAACCAGAATTAGCTTGTGGATTTTTATGCAACAACTAGAAACTAAATTAATACTTTGACGTAATTTCCACTCAGTTAACTATTACGTGTTATGCTTTAAGTTGTTTTTTATCTTAGATTTCTTAGTTTTGTAAGTAACGGTTTCGAAGCGTTTAAATAATGGAATAAGTTAACTTAGATATAAAACTTAGAGTCAATCGTCGATTAAGTAGAAAGGCTTCGGGTTACATAACTTACACTTCTCGCAACAAAAAAATTGTTTATATTTATTGATACTATTTGAAATTATCATAGTGTTTTCTGAACTTCGCTAATTGTTAATATACAGTAATACATAAAGGTATAGTTACACACATTGTATACAGCACAAAGTAGTTTTCCTGAATATTTCGTGTTCCTGATAAATACATCAAAGTAAAGTAATATTATTATTTTCGAGTTAGTCGCGAATAAACACAAAGTGATTTAACTGTTTCATTACTTTTTGCCACCGCGCCAATGAAATCATCGTTTTGTTTTTTTAAAATGTAAACAAAAAAGCTTACGCAATGAAAACGTAATTAAACGAGATTGCACCAGCCAACTTTACAGTTTAGTAACGAAACAGGCTTTAAGGTAATTTTATATAACTTTAGACTTATTTCTGCATTTTATCTGTGTTCTATATGAAAGTATAAAAGGAGAAAGACAACTGAAAACTTGAAAAGTTAAAAATGAAAGCGTTAATCAATGACAAGTCACGAAAGCTTTTCTAAATTCGGTGGAGTATTTCATAAAGCTTTCAAAGCTTTTCTCTAAAGCTGGACAAACATAAATTGGCCATCTTAGATGAATGTTGGAAGCATGTTGGCCGCATGCTGAATGAATATTAGAATATCGGTGGCACCTACCTGCGGAGAGACGCCCAGCATCTTAAGGCTGGGAGGGACGTTGGCGAGCGCGGCGCGCGGCAGCACGATGTGCCCAAAGTCCACAGTGAAAGCCTCGCACCACACAGCAAAGTGCCCGATGTCGAATACCGTCAGCTCCTGGCGCAAAATTTTTTTTAATTATTTCATAACAACTGTACTCGTTTAGGACGAGTTTAAATGTCACTGTACTGACCCCGGGCAGAGTGAGGACAATGGTCTTGTTGTCGTACTTTCGCAGCGGCTCCTCCTTGCCGTTCTCATCGGGTATGCGGATGCCCTGCGGCGAGGGTGTCTCTCCCCTTCCCACCCAGAACTTGGCGTCTGAAACACAAACCATACTGACGCACCTGCCATAGCCATACTACAAGTATATCTTATATTTATGAAGACTTTGATACCTGAAAAATGCTACCGTATTTTTTCGTTGAAAAGAATGATATTTTCACTCATTATACAACGCGTTATCACACACACTTTAAGCAAAACCGCGGAGTTTTCGAGTGAAACTTGTATATGTT